ATCAATAGATTTTTCAAATTACCACAACCCTCCACAGACAACTTTCTTAAATTTTGGACATAAGAAGATATTTTTGGAATCGAATTGTCCAAAATTTGTTGAATGTTATTTGAAGACAGACTCAAAAACTCCAAGTTGGGAGTCTCCACCTGCAAAGACTCATAGTTAGTCTGTTAATACAAAACATTGTAGGAAGATGACTCTATCATATTTGCTTAATATTAACTTTAGAAATTTTAAAAACTCCATGTTGAGAAAGTCAACCTAACAGAATTTTCATCCAAAAGTTTTTGTTTTTTTAATTGATTAAACTAAAAACATTACAAGGATAATATCAAACCAAGAACACGAAGACAACGTGCAATTATGTGAAGTACATTGTTATTTTGAGTAGAAAACAGTGAACTCTTTTTGGACTTAACGTTATTTGGGTCAATGCGGACAAAAAAGGGAAAAAATGTTATTTGGATCAATAATCCTACCTTAAAACTTGAGTAACTTCACATTTTAAGTGGTTGTTCTAGCCAGGAGTCTTTGTTTTCTAATGGTGTATTAAGTGGAATTTGTTTAAGGAGATTCATTCATGAAGCTAAAGAAGTGGAGATGGCAACATTGACAAGCGAAAAGCAACGACAAATATATTGTAAAATCTTAATTACAATAAATATATATATATATATATATATATAAAACTAGCCATGTTGCTGTAAAAACAAAGAAATATGGAAAAGAAGAAAAGAAACTGACCTTACTGCTAAAGAGGTATTGAGATTCCTCTTTGTCGTGCTCTTCTGAAGATGTAGAAGCAGCACATGTAGTGACCATCTTTGGGCAGTCCTTTACAATAAAATCATTTAAGCTTGGAAGCTCAAGACTATGACTTCCCACAAAGAAACTTGTCAAATCCAAACAAGACTCTAGATTGATCAAAGAAAGATGTGAGAATTCCATTTTATTTTCTGCTCCTTCTCCTATTATCACTTGTTCCATTGTCCCACAGTTTTTTACTATTAACTGCAAGAGTTGCACTAGGCCCATGGCCATGGAATGGGTTAAGAGGTACCTGAATTTGCTACAATTACAAATTTCCAGCACCTGAAGCCGTCTGAAATCTAAGAGTCCTTGAGGATTCTTGATATACCATGTTTCCATGAACTTAGGAAAATCTGATAACATCAAAAGTTGTAACCCAGCAAATCCAACCTACGCAAGTGCAAAAAAGCAAGGGCAGTTATGTATATAACACAATCCAAAAATAAAGCAAAAAATTTTTTTATAAAAAGAATGAATGGCTTCAAATATTTAGAAATCAATCCATACCTCTTCCATGTACGTTCTTTGTATGGTAGTATTAAGGTCATCTTCCCAACGGTAATTGTCCTCTTCTTTAATTATTACTCTCCATAGCAATGGTGTATCTAGCTCTCCCTCACTGAAGATCTTCAACTTGGGGCATTGCTTTACAGTTACCTGTTTTAAACATGGGAATTTGAAGGTGAAATTTTCTGAACAAAAGCTTTCTAGTCTTGGCAACTGCTGAAGTGTCAAAAATTTTAGTTTAGCAAAAGTGATCATGATATAATCTTGCATTCCATCTCCTTCACTTCCAACTATTTTAGTCAACATGTGGCAGCTCTCCACAATTATACTTTCTAGTTGCACCAAACTTTGTGCTGTTGAGACTGAAACCAAATTTATCATCCCTTTGCAACTTGTTACGTTCAAAGTGGTGAGATTCTGGAAAGATGAAATTGAAGTTGATAATATAATCAAACTATCACATTTGGATATATCAAGAGTTTCAAGATTTTGAAGGACACTCGGTGAGTCATGGCTCCATATATGCCTGAGATATGGAAGGCACTTCAGATTTAATGTTTTAATCCTTAAGAGTGTCTCAATCTCAATGTGTTTCTCTTGTTCTTCAACTTCTCCTTTTGAAGGGAACAACTCTTTAAAATTACAATAACTCACAATGAGATTTTCTAGATGGCAGAACCTTTTTAGGAATCCAACAGGTAAAACATCTAATTCATCATCAAGATAGTCCTGAATTTGAAGAACTTTGCCATTGAAAAGGATGTCTTGTTTAGACTCATGCTCACATTTCATTGCAATGTCATCTCTTGTTAATGATAGTTTCTCCAATGAAGGGATGATCTAAAAAGAAATAAAATTTAATAAAATAAGATCTTGTGATTTTATATATAAAAAAGAAAAAAAAATTATTAAAAATATTAAGTGTATTTTCACATGAAAACCAAATACCCTCTTATTGCTACTTGAATTGAAAATGATGCATAAATAGTGTATTTTTGGGTGGAATGAATGTAATGATCCTACCCTTAATTGTACAGTTCATAAGTTTCTATTCTTAATTGTTAGATTTAACTTGCATAAAAACAAAGTTTCAGGTTTGCATGTAAATTTTCAGAAATTTTTATAATGGAATACAACTGTCAAGTCTATTTGGGATGGTAATGACATATGGCAAACATCCAAACAGTTTACATTTGCATGTAAGCATTAAGCAGTTGTATTTGCATAATTTCTAAACTAGAAACCAAAGGAAGAGAAAGGGCTTCTATCTATGTATTTTGTGAGACTTGGTGTTTGATATCTATTTCGTCAGACCATGATTATTATAGCTTCTGCTATGTGCTTTACACTATTGTTTGAGTCTATAGAGGGTTGCAACCTATGCTAACTGCTAGTTAATTGTTTGGGTTCCAAGTTGAGCAACTTTGATTGATTGGACCTCTATGCAGTAGGGAGGCTATGGTTGGCAATCTGCTTTTAATGTGAAGTGCACCACAGATTGTTAAGTGGACTCATAGACTCTATGATTGTTTGTTTCTCTAAATTGTTTGGTAATCTGATTTTATTTATTATATATGTTTGAAGTTAATGATTTAGTGTTGAATTTATGAAGAACCTATCTGAGAGATTTGATCTATATGGTTAAGCTATGCCCGCCACCTTCATAATCTATCTTTTTTGGATTCTGGTTATAAGTTTTAACATGGATTATTTGATTGTTCTTGTTAATTTGACTCAAAGCTCACTTACAGCTTTAGGTTATAACTTATGCTTACTGAACTTCATAGCTCATGTTTGTTTCTCTAACCATTTTATGTTAACTGAGTACATCTAGCATTTTTGGAAGTCTAGAAATTTCTTATGGTTTATACGAAGGTAGATTTGATTTTCCCAACATTGCATATGGCTCAAATTTTTTTTAAGTTTGTTCCAATCCTGAGTATAATCAGATGAGAGTTCTTCAATTAAACCAATCATTATACTTTATAAATATATTTTGAAATGGACTTCCCGCTAAATACATGTATAAATGATTTAACTTTAAAATAATATGCCTTTCACTTATAAGATACTATCTCTTAACTTAATAACTCTTGCTTACCATTCCTGGCTTCTAAAGCTTAACATTTAATACACTTTTATACTAGATTAGATTATGCATTCAAGTGATATGAGTTCTTATTTTTAACCAAGTTTTCTAAATGTGATAGTAATTGGTTTTCTCTACAGAATTCAAAATCTAAGGCCAGCACTTTCTCCCTTCATGATCACTAAGTAGCTTGTTTTTCTTAGCCTACAAATCAAGATTTTCTTTACAGTGATTAAATAGCCATAATAAAAGAGTTTTTAATGTTTTTCTTAAATGAACACAAGCAGATTTATTTAACACAGAGATTCAAAACAATAATGACAAAGTTAAAGGAATACTAAGAACCATTTTCAAGCAGTCTCACAAACAATATTTCATTAAAAAAACCACTGAAGTCTCACTAAAGCAAGTTATTGCATCTTTCCAATATGATATCATTATCCATGTATGGTGATTATTAAAAATTAATGACTTGTTACATGATATATAGTTGTAGTAAGCTGTTCTTTTATTATTTTATTTTGGAGAGGGGTTCTAATTTCACAATGAAAAGTTATGATACAAATTGTACCTTTTTTTAAGAGAAAAGTGGTAGTCGTACAGGGAAGTCAAGTTGCCCATGCCCATCTACTCCCTTTACTAGATTGAAATGGGAAAAATAGAACTTTTTTAACATTTTCCACATTGTCGTGTCATGTGCTTCCCTGGGTAGAAACATTGGAGTCTTGGTAGCACCTCAAGCTTAAGACTTGTTACTTGAGGAAATTCAAAGCTAACAATTGCTCCAGCTTCTTGTTCTCCCATTGTGACAATTTCCTCCACCCCGCACCAATATAAATGCAGCTTTTGGAGTTGCAAAAGGTTTTTGCCTATTGAAGCTAGAAACAAATTTTTGAGACTCCCACAATAGCTTACCTTGACTGATTCCAGGTCGTGAAAAGTGAGTGTTCCTTGGGGATCCTTATTCCACACATGCTTCAATCTTGGTAGGCCTTCAATATTCAATTCTTTGAACTTGGTGTCAATTACAGCATGTGTTTGTTTGACATTGAACTCGGCAATTTCAAATACCCCTTCGAGTGAGCCACACCGATATATAGATAACACCTCTAGGGATTTCAAAACTTTTCCCAATATATCAGTACAAGGAAAAACAGTTGATAGCTTTTCACAATTTCCAACTTTTAATGATATTAGCCTGCAAAAGGAATTTGCAAATAGTTTGTTGTGCCATATGATCTCCAAGTTGTTCAAGTGGGTGATAGTCAACCTTTTCAAGTTGGGAAATGCAACCTACATAATAAATGAATGCATCATGCCATTGACAGTGAAAGGATAAGGACAATTATTAGTCCCTAAAATTAAAGCCAAGATGAAAGTGAAATGAGGAACATATGACCTGTTCATTGAAGAGTGTCTGCATGTCAACTATGCAACTTGTGCTTTCAGAAAATTTAACTATGAATCCCTTCAATTCGGGGCAATTCAGTACTTCCAAATCCTCCAAGGATGGGAATTCAACAATACAATTTCCTAACTAGAATGCAACAAGGTTGTGAAGGTCTTCTATCGATAGGTGGTTCAATTGGGGAAAAATCAAAATCTCATTTTCTTCTGCATTCTCTGTGACAATAATCTCTCTCATCCTCTTGCATTCCCTTATTTCAAGTCGTTCAAGCATCACCATACCTCTAGCCACACAAGATGAGAACAAAAATTCCAAATTATCAAAGCCTTGAATGATCAATTTCTTCAATTTCTTGACACAAAAAGATGTTATTGAAATGAGCCATTTGATGTCAACATTCATCCAGCATAATTGCAACTCCTCAAGGCTTGGTAACACAACCTGCATACAATTCATTTTGTAAGAAAAGCTTATCATTTTGTTGATGGACAAGAAAAAGGATGGTCAATGGTGTTGATGAGAACCCCAAAAGGTGTTAAAAATTGAAGAATGGAGGAGTTAAGCCATGTACTTCTTAATTGTAGTTGGAGCTATAAGTGGTAGTGTCTTTAACTCCTTATTTCTAGGGATTACAATTATATGATCAACAAAATTTGGGGTGGTCGTAGATCTGAGAGGGAAGTTTGATGATTATTGTTTTTCGTTATCACTTGGACTATGTGGATAATAGATATGCAAGAACAAAAGGTTGATTAAACAGAAGGACGGATATGCTTTCTATGGTTCTTTAATTGATTCAAAACTAAAGGAGATCATTCATGTGGACAACAGGCAATTAAGGTGGATGATTGTGTGGTCTCTTATACAGATTGGTGTCTCAACCTGAGACTGACCAAAAGAAGAGGTTAGAAGATAAACAAAAGTAGAAATTGCATCAGAAAACTAATGTGAAGGAACCAGGCAAAGGTAACCACACCATTCCTACATATTTGGAGGGTGTATCGGTCTTGGCGTGCCTTAAATTAATAGGTGCTACTAGAAGTCTGTGTGTGTAATGAGATGATTTGAGATTTGGGTGCCAAGTGAGAATGTTGTTTATAAGTAATTCTGTAAAGTATTTAAAATATTATAAAAGAAAACTTCTACTTTTGCTGATAAAAAAATTCATGAATTTAAAACTAAACGACTAGTAAAATGAGACAAAAGAATACATTTTTTGAAGTAAGCTGTGCCATATTTACCTAATTAAAAACAAAATTAAAAACTCCAAACTAAAATACTTCATCATTAAAATATTTCTTTTGTGAAGAATTTCTTATTAATCCAAAGAAACAATGTAATGATAATCCCAAAGCAAGAACATGAGAAACGACAGACAGAGACATTTAGAATGAAGAACGGCAGTAGACTCTATTTGGAATAGTTAAGCATTGTCCAATTAACTAATTTTCTCAAATTAAGTAATTTTACTTTTAAGTGAAAAATTTTTAGGCACAACAAGTAAAGAGACGCACCTATTGTACATAATAGTTAATAATAAATAATTTTTACATTTAAAGTTTTACATTACACCTTTAGAATTAATGTACTAGTAATAATACCTATATAGCAAAGGCATAGATAAAGATGTACGTAATTTTTCATTTCAATAATAATAGGCTGTTCATTAAAAAAAAAAAAACCAATAATCATAGGTAGTGTAACATTTATACAGATTGGTTATTACTCCTAGTTAATATAATATAGTTCCAACAATCCTATTGTGTATATATAATATTTGTCATATATAACTAAGAAAACTAAATATATAGTTTGCATAATTTTTAACTATTAATAATTTTAGTCTATAAAAGAACTTAGCATATAATTTATTATGCCATATGATCTCTAAGTTTTTCAAGTGGGCAATAGTCAGCCATTTCAAGTAGGCCTAGCAAACAAGTGGGCCAAGTCAGGTTGAAACAGGTCACCGGTTAACCTGTGGGTTGACCCTGTTGAACTTTTTTTTTTCTTTTTTTTTTTTTATACCTTTTTAAATCTTAAAGACTTGAGTATTGGAAAAGCCAAGCAACTAAGTTCCATAAATGGGCTCACAATTAATTCCAATTCTAAAAATTTAAGAATCAAAATAGGGAGAGGAAAAAATGAAAAGAAAATCAGAGTCATTGTTGTAGCATTACTAATTAGAAAAAATAAGTATTGGTAAGTGATATGGCTTGATGTGTGGCTACATAGAAATGAAGATCCAACAATGATATTTTGGGAGGAAAAAAGTGAGGGATTTAAACTAGAAATTGTTTTAGATTATTTTATTATTTTAATAAAATAAAATAAATTATTAAAAAAATGAAATGGGTCAAATG